CCCCCCGCCAAAAAAATTTCGGTCAGTGTACCATTTTAGGGGTCAAAAATGTTTTCCGGACATACCAAAAGTCAAATATAAACTATAAATTGTCTGAATCTCGTGATTTTCGTACAAAAAGCATCGTTGTAAATGTGATTTATCACGTATTTTTTTATACTAAAAGGGCACTTCTGCCCCCCCTGCCCCCCCTAGCAAAAGGCAAGGGGGGCAGCCGCCCCCCTGCCCCCCCCAGTTCCGGCGTCCCTGATAATCACCAACAAATTTTGTTTTTTAAACTTCTTTTCAATGTTAAACTCATTTACTCAATACAGGTCTTAGGGCTCTGGCTTTGGGGCAATAGGCCATTTATTTTCTTCAGTGGTGGGCAGAGGAAGGGGCCCAGTGGGGCAAATGCCCCACCAGTCCATGGTATTAAAAAATGCCTTGAGTACGAATCGTTCAACTTTTTTGCAGTTTTGTACAAAAAATATGAAGAAATTAAAAATTTAAGAACATGAGAATATCGTGTTGTCATGGCAACACTTGAGCGCGAGCCTGCGTTCAGTGTTGGCCATTTCTGAATATTTCATGTTAAGTTAATGTTTGGAAAATATTGGCGAGGGGTTACTGCATGCATGTATTTCCAGTTTATTTTGGCTTATATTGCTTGGGAGAATGTTCGACATAGAAAATTAGAAATACTATGTACATGGTCATTACTACGTGACTGTCCATGTCATAGAACTTGGTAAATAATTGTGTTTGATGTTTGTGCTGTTTTGTATTGTATTGCATTGTGTTCTATTTTATTGTTTTGTGTATAGTTTTAGTATGATAAGCACCTAGCATGGGACTTTATGTCTGGTTCGTGCTTGATATTGTCCATTTGGGCATTCTACTTAATTCTATATAGAACTGCTGTGTTTAAAACTTTGTAGAATTCTCAATAAAATTGTTAAATTAAATTAAATTAATGCAGCGAGGATGATTCCAACAGCTCAGCCCATCAAAAATGCTTACAAACAAATATAAGCCCGGGGCTTACATTCAGAGGTTTACAATATTCATCTTGCCCAACATAGTTTGTCAGAGTTGTATAAATGCCACAGTTATTAGAAGTAATATATAGGAATGAAAGGCGCACAGTACGTGTGCCAGTCACCTTGGCATTGCCCAAAATTATATACCCTGACAATTAACCCAAATAGATTGATGACATGTTTAAGAGCAGCTTCAGTGGTGGTGTCCCCAGTATTGGAGTACAGCTCAACATTTCAGTTGGACACTATTGTGAACCTTCTCTCTTAGATCTGCAAGATCATTTGTGATATATTGCAATGTAAAATGAAACTTTGGGAGTTTTGCCCCCGAACTGCCTAATCATAGTGTTAGAAGATCGAATCACGAGCGACCCCAAGCTAAATTTTTCCCTGGGCCTCTAAATTCTAGCCTGTTTTGCGGTTACACATTATTACTGTATAAGGGAGTGTTCAGAAATTTTCAGGGCGTGCTAGCGTCTGCTCGCTAAACTATGCACAAAGACGTGCAGTGATACAAAATTCTTAAAATTAGGTATGCGATTTCTCACAAATTCATGAACAAAACACAAAGGAAATCTATTTTTGTATCGTTGTCAAGCGCGGTAATAAATTTCATACAGGTTATTTACGGTTATCGCCTTAAGACAAAGTAGTAACAATATACAAAATTGCTGCAAGTCGCATCAAAAACTGTTACAATACATGTTTGGTTACGTATGTTTGAAAACCTCCCATTAACATTCATTGAAATCAGTTTTTGCCATAGAAATAGATTAACAAATATTTAACACTCTTTATGCTAGCTATAGTTCAAATGTAAGTTTTCTGACGAATTAATTCCATACAAAAAGCTAGCGAAAAGAAAAACACGATTAGAATATAAATCTACGACAGAAATTTGAAGGAAAACAAATAAATTTGAAGCCAGCACATACTTGTTTTAATAAAAGAAATTTAATTAAATATATTGGTTTCCTGTCATGGGTGTTTCAAGAGAACTATAATTTAACGATTTCTCAAAAATTAATTAACAAAACACAAAATAAATCAGTTCTGTATCGCTATGTTGAACCGTAATAAATTCCATACATTTCATACAAGTTATTCGGTTTTATAGCTTTAATTTAGGTAAAATCGTAGCGTAAAATTTAATATGCAACATTCCTGAAACTCGTATAGAAAACTAATTACAATAGTTCAGTGGCGTCGCGACTCCAGGATTTTATTTCAAGGGGGCAACTTAATAATTTGAGAGTCACGACTTTATATAGGAGTTCGGGGCATGCTCCCAGAGAAAAAAATAATTTGGGGTCTCTGAAACGGCATTTCCTGCATCGTTGAGGCACTTGGGAAAATGAAAAAGTCTTATAATATCATACCTTTCATTTCTGAAATCAAAATATTTGTTTTAATCCTTCTTGACGAAGGTTGAATTGATGCACTGATTCGACTTGCTATAAGAATAAAACAATTGAGAATTCTTATCTAAATATATTGATAGAAATATTGATGTCCTGTCATTATATAGGGTTTCAAAAATATGTATCATAAGAGAACTATAACTAACGATTTCACAAAAATTCACGAACAAACTCAAATTACATTAGCTCTGTATCGTTGTGTAGCACCGCAATAAATCCCATACCTTTCATACAAGTTATTCGCTTTTATAGACATAAGACAAAGTAATAGTGTAAATATACAAAATTGCTGTAACTCACACCAAAAACTAAGTACAAAAATGTTAGTTCAGTGGTGCCGCAAAGATTTTCAATTCTTTCAAGGGGCCAACTTAGTAGTTTAAGAGTCACGATTTTATGGGTGTACGGGGGAATGTTCCCCGGAAAAAACAGAATTTGGGGCCTCTGAAATAACATTTCCTGCATTGTGGAGATACTTGGAGAAAATATAAAGGTTAAAATATAACCTTTAATACTTGACAATTTAATTTAGTCGAAGACATATAGTCACATATAGCTTTAAGAACAAAGTTGATGAACAACACTGTCTGCTTACAATTATCACCCCCTCCCCAATTCTTTATCCGCTTTGAACAGACCTAAAACTACACTCCAAAAACATTGGGGAAGGGGGAAAGACCGAAGAAGAGAAGATGGAGACGATCAGAAACATTACGGAGCTGGACGTGGACGTTGAAGAACAGATGGAAAACCGACAGTGGACAATTACCAGCTCATAAAATACCAAACGAGAAATTAATAAAGATGCTTGCATTAAACTCACTTGTTAACGAAGGTTGAATTGATGCACTGGTTGAACTTGCTATAACAACAAATCAACAATTTAACTTTTATAAAAATCTGTCTCTTTCAAATGAGATAGCTTGTTCCTCTCTGCAAAATTTGATAGTAAAATTAGAACATACCACAGTTCCAATACCATTCATCACTGCCATCAGAGCAATGATTCCATCCATCACAAAGATAATATCGATCCACACATTCGTAACCATTATCGCATCCGAATTGCCAATACTGACAAACAGATTGTGTTGCTGAATAAAATTAATATAACAAAAACGTGGCTACTCATGATTCATCTACAAGCATAAGGGTTTCCTCACTATTACAATTATGTACATTCCTAACTACATTCAACAATTCGACCACTTCGATTTCGGATAAGATACCATCTAAATAAAAAACTATATACTCTAAAAATATTATGGGGCACCACGCCCACCCCCAATCGCCCCTCTTCGCGCCGCGTCTGTGTTGGTTCAGATGGTATAGACACGAAATGGCAAGAGACGAAGGAAGCTGGTCATATACATCAAGGAATGAAAGTATGAGAGACAAATTTAGGGGGAAACATTCCAGGGAGGGTGAGGAAACCAATTATGGATACGCAATCAGAAGAGATGAACCGCACTGGAGATTTGGAATTGGAGATTTAGAGGGTAGAGACCGAAGAACAAAATGGACCACATATTAACTGAACATCTAAATATCAAGGAACTCACAATCGACGCGACAAGGGAGTGAAAATCAATGCACCCAGGTACACGATCCTAGTGCAGAATCCACTTTACAACTTAAATGATTATTACATTACACTCACATTTTTCACAATGTTAATTCTAAAAACACATCAAACAAACCACAAACCCATCCCAATTCTTTATCCGCTTTGAACAGACGTAAAACTACACTATAAAAACATTGTAGAGGGGGAACGACCGATCAAGAGAAGATGGAGACGTGCAGAAACATTACGGAGCTGGAACATATAAACGTGCACGTTGAAGAACAGTTACTGTACGTTCGTAACCATTATCACATCCGAATTGCCAATATTGACAAACAGACGGTGTTGCTAAATAAAATTAATATAACATGCGTGGTTACTCAAGATTCTTATGAATCTACAAGCAAAAGGATTTCCTCGTTATTGCAATTATGTCCATTCCTACCTATTAATCAATTTTCAGAATCTAATAATCTATAATCTTACAGCCTGTTTGTTCCTAATAACAGTAAATCCTACATTAACGCTCCCCTTACTGTATATTAGCAGATTAAAGTTTACTTGTGAAGACGAATACTAGCAACTCATGAAGTTCATCAAAAGGCAGACAAGAAATTCACTAACATACTCTTCCATTACATTATTACATTATTCAGCTCACTCCCCATCTGGGGCTTTTCAGTAACCGATTACATCAAGTATTACGCTCATGTTACTTACCTAGATTATTTACCTTTACAACAATTGAGATCTGTTTATCCTAACCCACGCTGTCAGCTTGTGCTGTGGGAGGAAACAGGCGCACCCAGAGAAAACCAACGACTTACGGCAGAACCTTCACAGACTGTTTTCTCATGAGTACGAAACGAGAACCAAACCCACGATCTCCGAGGTGAAAGGCGCTTGCTCTTACAACTGCGCCATCAAAGCCCCATATTTATACTTACAATACTTGTTAACGAATGTTGAATTGATGCACTGACAGTGCATTTTTTTAACTATATAACTACTAGGGGCATTTACCCTAGTAGGCCCTTTGCTTGCCCCAGTAGTGAAGCATTATCTTCCTGCTTTCTCATATCGTCTCACATTAATTCTCAACATTCCCTCATAAAAAAGTCAGCACAGGCAGGGGCGGCGCTAAAAGGGAGTTGTGAGTGTGGAACATCCCCAATCGTCAGGTTGTCGGCAAATTATCTAATCTTACAATTTACTAGAACAATGTTCGGTAGGTTCTAATAAGTAGATACGAGCAAGAGTTTCAACACCTTCTGCTGACAATCGCCCCCTCCCCCCCCCCCCCCAATTCTTTATTGGCTTTGAACGGTTCTAAAACTGCACTCCAACCATTATTCAGAGTCATTATGAATTGAAAAGATATAAAGATAAGTCTGGGGGAAACATTGCATTGCATTAAAATACAACCTTTAATACTTGACAATTTAATTTAATGGGAGACATAATTATAGTCACATATAGCTTTAAGAACAAAGTTGATGAAATTCTGCGAGCATATATAGATGCGCGCAAGATACTCAACACTGTCTGCTTACAATTATTATCCCCCTCCCCAATTCTTTATCCGCTTTGAACAGACCTAAAACTACACTCTAAAAACATTGGGGAAGGGGGAAGGACCGACGAAGAGAAATGGAGACGTTCAGAAACATTATGATCTGGAACATAGAACGTGGACGTTGAAGAACAGATTGAAAACCGACAGTGACAATTACCAGCTCATAAACAAAGACATAAACAAGAAATTATAAAGATGCTTGCATTAAAACTGACCTGTTAAGGAAGGTTGAATTGATGCACTGGTTGAACTTACTATAAAATAAATCAACAATATTTAACTTTTATAAAAATCTTCTCTGTCAAATGAGATAACTCTGCAAAATTTGATAGTAAAATTAGTACATACCACAGTTCCAATACCATTCGTCACTGCCATCAGAGCAATGATTCCATCCATCACAAAGATAATATGAATCCACACATTCGTAACCATTATCACATCTGAATTGCCAATATGAACAAACAGATTGTGTTGCTGAAAAAATTAACAAAAAATGCGTGGTAAGTTAAGATCTGATCAATCGAAATGCAATAGGATTTCTTACTATTCGTTATCTGCTCATTTCTACATGAATCAACGTTTAGCATCTATAAGCTTGCGGTCTTTTGTTTGTTCATATGGGGCTATAATTTATCTATTTTATTAGTCCATCATTAATAACAGTAATCCTCTATTAACGCCCTTTCTCAAATAAACCTTCTGCTCTAATTATTAGACGCTCTTACATGAGCCACAATTTCTATGAAGAATTGTCCCAGACAAGTCCTTTCCAATACCTTTCTAAACGATCTCATCTCTCCTAGTAAGTTCCCTCCCTAAAGTCGGTTTTTCACTTGGTGAATTTGTTGGCGCGAGACAACTTTTCCCAAAGGCGATAGGGAAAAGTTGGGAAAGTTGGGAAAGTCGATTCGGGCTAACAAATTCCTTTAAAAGCGGCTACATGCGATTTATCTTTAATAAGCCACCCGTCTCTATCATAAGCACCTCTCTCTAATAAGCCACCATCTCAAACTCACCTCTCTTTCTCTAATTAGCTCCCTCTAAAACACACCCATGTCTCTAATAACAACCTCTCTCAAACCAGCTTCCTCTCAAAAAGCTTCTCTTTATAAAAATCCTTTCCCAAACAAGCCCTCTTCTATACAATCCTCCTGACAAACAACAGTAACAAGCTCCATTTAAGAGGACGAAATGTATCAAGCTTCTACTTCCTATTAACATAGGTCCGCTGTGGCGTACATGCATCTACTGAATTACTAGCACCAGGAGATAAAAAGCATTGAGCAGATAAAAACATAGTTGTGCACTTTTGACCTTTGGAATCGTTTTCTGGCATTTCCAGAGTCATAGCCCTATTATGACTCAAAATATTTATTTTAATTTATTTGACTATTTACTTCAGTTGGAGACATGGTCACATAGAGCATTATAATAGAATAAAGTTCAGGAGAATTTGATATATGCTTGCAAGTTGCAAGAAACGGAAGCCAGTCTGAAGAAAATTTTCCACCCCCTCCTCACTTTGAAAACTACACTTTAAAAACATTTGAGGGGAGCGACCGCCCCCACCCAACTAGTCCCAATTAATTGCCGACCCCTCTGCGTTTGTCGAGACCATGAGTGAAGAAAGTATGGATACGTACTGAGTTCAAGAGATTATCGAGACTGCAGATTTGGAATTGAAGATTCAGAGAGAGGAGATAGGGAAAAACCATGTTTTTTGCATTTTACGTCG